TCAAAAATTTGTCTTTTTATCAATTCCTAATGTAGATGTGTGAGCTCATATATATTTATTAATTTCTTCTTTTCCATCTGGTGTGGGAATTGGGTTGCCTTTCAAATTGTCAAGACACATTGTCTTCAACCCACAAGGCCACACTAAACAAAATCAACAATGAGGGAGCATTGAGCAGTAATAAGACTTACAAAATGACTGAGTATAGCCACGACTTTGTCACCCGCCTTGAAATGCTCCACACCAGACCCGATGTCAACTACTTCTCCTGCAACATCAGTTGCTGCTCCAGCAAGAAGTGAGAAAGGTGTTATGTCTATAAAACTACACATCATTTTACATTGTGGTAGAAAAGATATACAGCTCAGAATGTGCATGAGAAGTCATCTTTTTCTCCTCGCAAAGAACGTGTACATAACAAGCCCATAGAATAGAATATAATCAATATATTTTTGTGTGTTTGGATTTACCTTGTAAGACACGTTACAAAGGAAAAACATATGAAACTTGCATTTTCTTGGTTTGGAACAGAGTATAAACGATGAAAATTTGACAAAGTAAAGATTGGGAGGTGCAAGACTAACCAGGTATGTAAGGAAATTTTCCAGGGAGGAAAGGGCGGAGGATGCCTTTTTGGATTTTCCAATCAATTGGGTTTATGCTTGTGGCTTCAAGCTTTAGCAAAACCTCACCTTTACCGGGAGTGGGCACTGGAACTTCAACATGCTGCAACACTCAATCTATGTCAAACCGATTCAACCTCATATTATACAACCATTATTCCTATGCTTATATTGTAAATCAACAACGGAGTATTATGAAACGTCTGCATTTGTTCTGCAACATTGGGGTGTACTCACTACTCAGTCATGTATTTAAGCTTCATTGGGCATCTATTTCCTTATAAACACATCAAGAAGCTTTTGATTTACTTGTTTAGCTGAAATGGATGTTAACAAAGTCCATACTTTGAATTTCTTTTTGCTTATTCAGTCACTACATCCAAATTACTCCTACCAAACAGGCCTCTTAGTACAAATATAGTCGCAATACCTGCCCTTTTCAGTCAATCTATGGTATATTCTAGAACTCTACAGCCAAAAAACCTATCACAGTCTCGTTTTCATCTTCCATAAAGTGAACATTTTTGTTGGAAATTTGGGCTATAGATAGACATTTTAGCAGTCACTTTTGGGCCTAAATATCAATTGGAACTCGTGATTATCAGTTGATAAATCAAATTATTGTGTATGAAACCCCAAACCCCAAATTCCACTGCTATGAGTTTGAATCCCATGAAATTACAGACGGATCGAGAGGATTTGATAGAAAAACAACATCAATTTCTACCAGGGTTTGAATATCTGGTCGCGAAGAACACTAGGATTCTTAATCACGAAAGCAGTCGATTAATTTAAGCAACCAAAACAAGATTGAATTGCAAATTTAGACATAGACAGAGAGGGAGAGGGAGTGCGCGCGCGCTTTAATACCTTCAGAGCGGCAGCGCCGCCTCCATAACCGTCGTACTGAACCGCCTGCATCATTAGCTTCCTTCCGGCCATAACTAATTAGCTACTCACGGTGGCGGTTTCACTTAGAAAATGCTGGTTGATGCGACTGTGTGGTTGTGAATTCAATCAAGGTAGTTTCCAGTACGTGGATTAAATAATCATTTATTGAGTTTTCCCTTAATATGACACCCACTTGTTTTTCCCAAAAAATCACTTGAAATGGTAGTGAAGCCCATAAGTTTCAAACTTATCTCCTTTAAGTAACACCAAAATTTTATTAGAAATGACTTTTGAAGAATTTTATTAGAAATGACTTTGAAGCTTCGTGGCTTTAAATTGAGACTTCAAACATTTATTTATTATATTTTTAAATACGCATCTTTTACAATTAAATTAATAATATTTTATTATTTAATTCAGTTTAAACGATAATAATTCATTAAATAAAAAATATACATTCAATAAAATTACTTTAATATAATAAGATTTGAATAACAACAAAATAAATAAAAAATACTCCCTCCGTCCTAAAGTATTTGTCTATTTTTATTTTTACACATCATCCAATGCACTTCTTTAATCCATTTTATCTTGTATTTTGTATATTAAAAAATTATAGAATGCATATATTAATAATCTATATGTTAAGACAAATCAAACAAGATCACACATGACTATATTTAGGCTTACACATTGAGATAATTTGATGAGTCAAAGTGCTTAGATGAACAATTCCAAAAGTCAAAAGTGAACAAAAACAAGAGAACGGAGGGAGTACAAATTAAATTACATTACAAAGAAATTAGTAATTATTCGAACGACGAAAAATATCTTCAATCAAATCCGCAGTTAGTTGACGGTTTCTTCATTTCTTACGTACACACCTCCTCGCCTTGGTCATAATGATATATTGCAAACTTATCACTCTCTATGATCGTATTATGAAGAATAATATATGCGCTCATGATATTCCTTAGTTTCGTTTGAAATAATATTTGGATGGACGATCTAGAATGTGTCACTTACCCTTCAACACCCCAAAAACTCGTTTAATGTCTTTCTCGACGCCTCATAAGCTTTTTTATAGGTCTGACATATAAGATCCATTGGTTCTGAAAGAGACTTGACAATCATGAAATAATCTAAATATATTTTATCTGCAAGATAAATCAACGTTTGTAAAGAATCCATCAAAGCTCAAAAGACGAGTCGCGTGCAGTCTTATTAATCTAACCATCAAAAATAGACAATTGACTAAGAACATAGATGTCGTTGTTCGAGTATGCAACGCAAAAAAACATGTCAAAACCACAATGCATTAGAATTTACACCTTTGAGCACGATAGTAGGCTTGGAATTATCACCCTGAGAAAACTGACCATGTCACACAGTAGAACAATTTTTATATTCCACGTAGCAGCATGCATAGCCTGTATTTAGGGGTGTTCAAAAATTTCCGATCCGAAATATCCGTCCACGATCCGGGTCGATCCGGTCCGAAAAATGGATATCCGATCCGATATTTTAGCTTTCGTATATTTCGGATTGGATATCCGAAAAAAATCGGATCGGATATGGATTCAATTTCTGGAATTTTTCGGATAATCGGATATCCGATTATTTTTTTTTTGCTATATGTTTTTGGAATTTTATGGATATATATTATGACTATATGTTTAAATGTAATTTTATGTTGATTTTGGAACTCAACCATTTTGGACTTTTTACATTAGCATTTTAGAATCTTTTGTTTCAATAGTGTTTTTTTGTTTGTCTAGCAAATTTACCAAAGTTACTCTCAAATTAAATTTGGTATCATTTTTTTATTAGGTCATTACCTGGTGGTGAAATTTTTATTTTATTAAATATATATTGAATTTGATATTTTGGATTGATTTTGCTATTTTACCTTTTTTTTGTAAATTTTGACTAAAAACTCAACTTTTTGGATAATCCAGTGATCCGATCCGAACAATCGGATATCCGAATTTCGGATATCCGAATATTTTCGGATCGGATATGGAATGAGTTTTACATGATCCGAAATTCGGATATCCTACTTTTCGGATCGGATCGATCCGATTGAACACCCCTACCTGTAACTGCTCAATGTCGCTCGCTGTTGGCTAAGGTAGATACCTTTTGTGATAAAGTCGAATAATATCTTCAAAAAATTTATATACACATGACCTAATGCTCCAAGCCAACAACTTCAAACATTCATCGAACATATTAGATGTCGTCCAATATATCATTTGACGAAATGCACCGGTGCACTTCTAAACGCTCCAAAGATATAGATGCGGGTAAATTTCACCAATGGTACCTGAACTTTAGCTGGAATTTCAAAGTGGTACCTGAATTCCAAATCCTTTCACAAAACCCTGAACTTACATAATCTTTTATCTAATGAGCCATTAGCCCGTTTCTAGGTTAACTTCCGGTCATTAGGGCCAAATTCGAATTTTATATATTTTAAATTTTCAATTTGGCCCCATTTCTTCTTTTCTTTTCTTCCACGCCCCGCTGCCGCCGCCCGCCGGTCAAAGTCGCCGGAAAATGAACTTTTTCCGATTCCGGCGGGACCAATGTCATTCTCTTCGTCTTGAGACGAGGATCAATAATATCCAAACCATTTTGTCTAATTTGGCCTGTAACTTCTCGAATCTGAATTTTTCTACTCGAAAAAACCCTAAAATCGAAATTGGGTCCAAAATTGGGGGTTTTGCAAATCGTCATCAAATCTTGCAATTGAGGGGTCCTTGGAGGTCGCCCGGATGCCACGACCGCATTGGAGTGGATGCCCGCCGTCAATTTCGCAGGAGTTGGTCAAAAAGGTCCTATATTATCAAATATTACCCTCGTAATTTTTTTTAAGGGTGTCTTTCCACAAATGGTCCTTTTTTTGACGTTTGTGGCATATTGGTATTAATTTAAAGGCTAAAAATATATTTTGACATCAACATTATGTTTAGTGACATGTTTTGATATTAGTTAAGCGCATAACACAAAAATAATGATTAGGATTGTAGGCTAAGATTCCAATGAAAGACCACATTTATAGACTATGGTTGTAGTAGAAAGCGACTGTAATTTACAAACAATGAGAACGGAATAGCCTTTGGAATTGTGTATGACAAAAAAGATATATTATCATAGCGAAATTACACTTTTAGCGCTCAAATTAACACCAACATGATCGAAGATCAAAAAAGAAACTATTTGTGGAAAGATACCTATAAAAGAAGAACCACTGGTGTAATATTTGATAATAGAGGACTAAATAGGAAAACTTCCCTGTTATAAAGGACCAGTTATGGAATTTACTCGAAAAAACCATTAAGAGAGCAGGCTTTTGTATGTATTATTTTGAACAAACACCCAAGTTTTTGTATAAGTACGAATTGATTTAAGTACGAATTGAAAAAAAAAACACAACAAAATGAAAACAAAAACAAAAGAATAAGAAAAAGAATGCAGATCGAAACTTGGATAATATAGTAGTAAGTGGGATCTCAGTGTGTTCATAGACTCCCTCGTGTGTGAATTGGTAGGCTTTCTTTCTTCTCTTTTCCCAGGTATGAAAGTTTGGATATGTCAACGAAAGGTCACACTTGGAAACCTGCACCCCCCATGGCCTGCAAATTCAAATCCACATTCGTCATTTCTATTTCTTTGGGCCCAAAATGTAAAGCCCAATCCGTCGAACCGTGAAAGCCCAAAAAATAGTTTTAATTATTTTTTAGAAGTTAATTAGGTAGAGTGATAGGGATAATTAGATATTAAAAAATAAGTAAATAAAGTGAATTTACTTACTTGGGTTCTTGCGTGTCATTTTGGCAACGCCATTGAAGTCGCAGGTCCCACCTACACTCTTAAACTTGGCCCAATAAGCACTAAATGCGTAGCTTGCACTTTGGGTCAAATTCTTGGGGCTATAACACTTCCCACCCTCTTGGATCTGGTCGCAGAGCCCATTACCCTGCCCGCAGGCCCATGACTTGGCGGCATCCACCGCAGTCATATTCCCCACCCCCGGCGCCACCACGCACCAGAACCTCCCTTTCGGCGGCTTGTTGTTCCGCGGCTTCGGCAGCGGCTTGAACTCCGACTCCGGCGTCTTCCCGGACAGATCGATCTCGTACACGTTGCTTCCGTTCGGGTGCAACAGCCCGAAATGCCGCTCCGTTCCCGGCCCCGGCTTCTGGTTCTCGTTGAACAGAGCGAAAATCATGGTCGGCACCCCCACTCCCGGCTTCGCCGGCGTCCCGATCGGCGGCTTGGCGTAGAACTTCTTCACAATATTCCGGTTGTACGTGGCCGCGTTGTAAATGTTCGCTCCGATCTGATCGACGTCGCCGGCGTTGGGCCAACCCGTTTCCGCTATGAAAAGTCGAAGATCCGGGTACCCGAGCCGGTTCATGGCGGAGTAAACCGAATCGATCATCTGGTCCAGTAAATTGGTGTACGTCAGACCCGAAACCGGATCCGAATAGGTCACATTCGTGGGCTTCAAGAGACTGTAGTCCAAATCAATGGATTCGGGTTGAGCCGCCCAAGCGAAGTACGGGTAAACGTCGAAGAAGAAGAAGGATCTAGAATCGTTCAGGAAGCGTAACAGCGGCCGGAAAACGCCGTCGGTGAGGTCTGACCGGAAAGTTCCGTTGGACGGCGGGAAGGAAGACTCCAACATGTCCATGGCCAGCGGAGTGCCGACTTTGACCTTCCGGAGCCGAAACTTGCGGAGAGATCGCCGGATATTGCGCATGGCGGGGACGAGGCGGAACCAGGTAGTGTTGGGCGGGTTGCTGAGGATCTCGTTCCCGACGAGAAGGTACCGGATCATTGTTCGCGGGTAGAAGGGGGCAATGTTGGTGAGAACCCAGCGGTCGGCGAAGTTCTGATCGGAGGAGATTCTGGGGATGAGCTCGTTGGGGACCATGGCGGAGACTTGGAGGTCGGAATCTTGAAGAGATTTGAGGATTTCCGGGTTGGCATCGTAGATCTTGACCCGTTTGGCCTTAAGGCCATGGATGAGCTCCACAGATTTCGCAGGGACGGGGAGATTATTCCCCAGCTGGCCGTAACAGATTCCTATTCCCCGCGTAAGTTCTGCTCCTGAGATTCAATAAATGAAGAAGAAGAAGAAGAATCAGAAGAAGAAGATTTAAATGATTGAACACTTGAATAGGAGTACTATTAGTTGCAGAGAGAAATGAGCTCGAGACTTACCGGAAAAGGACGATAAGGCGGCGGCGGCGGCGAGGAGATACACCAGAAGAAGAACCGGTGAAGCCATGTTTGAAGATTTGGATTCTTTCTTCCGGATTTTCGGAAGGGAGTGCCAGTGGAGTAATTAACAAATGGTTTGAATTCGAAAAATTTTAAGCCCAAGAATTCAACATTGATTTGTGTGAATTTCTGCAGTGATTAGACTTTGATTTTCAGCTAGAGAAGATAGACTTTTTGAAAGAAAAAAAAAGAGGGAGGAAGTGCCGGATATTACTGAAGTTATATCATTTTATATAAAAAAAGATATAAAATTAAAAAATAAAATTACATTATTTAAACACTATATATTTATTTGCACGTTTTCATTTAGTATTTGATGAAATAAATTTCTTATCACCTATTATTTTAAAAAAAATTGACATAATTTTTTAAGTATTTAATTTATTTAAATTTCATTTTGTGTAATGTAAAATTCTTTTGACAAAGGGCCTATCAAAACTATTAGTTGGTCTAACGGTAGAATGGTTCCTATTGTGCCCCACCAAAGGTAAATGTCCAATATGGCCTCAAACGTCTTGTAGCACTAAGCTTGATAGATTCTCTGAAAACCTTTAAAGGACGCGAATATATTCGAGAGAGATGCCAGGTACACCACCCCACTTTTTACTATTCATTTTATTTTGTTCTTATTATTTATATTTTTTTGAATTTCACTTGCCTTTTTATGTGGTTATGGAAGGGGTGAGGATATTTGGGGTACACTTTTGGTGTACCTCTAGCATTTTCCTATATTCCACCAGTAAAGTTTCCACGTTCTTTTGAAGGATAAAGCTACTTGTACCCCCAAGCATTTTCCTCTAGCATTTTCCTATATTCCACTAGTAAAGTTTCTTACCTATTTATTTGGGTGATCATTTAATTGAGTAATTTTTAACATTTTTAATTTTCAACATTTTCTAATTTCTTCCAATTTTTTCCATCTTCTTCCAATTTCTTCCATTTTTTCTAACAACGAGTTTTAAAATTCAGTCCCAAAAGAACAGGGCCTAAATCGTATGAATGTAATTTATTGCAAAATCTAGCTACCTTATTTTTGTCTAAGTATGAATTCAGGAAGAGCCTCGTCATCCACAATTCTTTTTTTGTACATTAGAATTTAAAGTTCCTAATTTCTAAATGAGTTTGAATGCCCTTGCTGCAATCTCCCCAACATCATAGTTGTGGAATTGCAGCTACTATCATACATATCCTCACTAACAACACTACTACTATCCTCACTTGCCTTCCATCTCTGCAAAGCTTGGGGCAAGCTCAAACGGAAGTCGGCCCCAAAACCATCTTCTTCTTCGTCATCTTCATCCTCCCTGCTCGCGGGCACCCATTCCTCCACCATGGGAGACAGGATATTGACCGCGTGGTTCATGTCCGGTCTCTGGTGAGGTTCGCGAGCCGTGCAGTACCCTGCCAGGTCTGCGACTCTGCACATTCTGTCGAAGGTTTCTTTGTCTGGTTCAAGACAAGGGTCGATGATGGCCTTTAGTTTCTCTCTGTTTGCCAGTTGTCTCCTGAACCATGGGACCAGATGAACTCTCTCCTCTGGTAAGCTCTCGTCTAGCGCCTTCCTGCCCGTGATCATCTCCATTAAGACAACCCCGAAGGAGTACACGTCCACTTTCGTGCTCACTCTCCCTGTTGCTGTTTATAAGCGCAAACGTTGCAGATGGTTATTAACTAGTTGGTTTTCAATGTAAGAGTATGATTAGTTTATAGGGAGGAGCAAAATAGTCTTGGAATGTAAAACCATCTTTTGAACATAAAATTATGTGTTTGAGTTGAGTCGGTTTCTTGACATTACATAAAAAAAATGGATGGAGTTTAATGGGGGTATACCAGCATATTCTGGTGCAAGATAGCCAAATGTTCCAGCCAACTTAGTCTCCAAGGAGCGAGACCCGTCAGGGGCGTTCTTTACCAGGCCGAAATCTGAAACCTTAGCTCTCATACCATCTCCAAGAAGAATATTAGAAGGCTTGAGATCTCTATGTATGAAGCTCTGTTGCGCCAGTCCATGCAGGTACTCAACCCCCCTTGCGACATCCAAAGCAATCGTCACTCGTTGCTTCCACGACAGAGGTTGCTGGTTTCCTTCGTGCCTGAACAAATGCTGGCCCAAGGTCCCCTGTGGCATGAACTCATAAACCAAAAGCCTCTCGTCCCCGTTGACACAAAAACCATGGAGTGCCACCAAATGCCTGTGCCTGACCTTGCTCAGGACCTCAATTTCGGCCTTGAACTCGTTGACACCCTTTGAGCTAAACATGTCAACAGACTGCATCCGCTTGACGGCAATTTGCGTGCCATCGTAGAGTTGGCCTCTGTAGACAACCCCAAACCCGCCCCTTCCTAAGACGTTAAGGTCACTGAAGTTATTGGTCACTTCCCTCAGTATTTCAATTGGAATCAGGACATTCCCACCTTCATAATAAGTGTTGGGCTTCTCTTTGGGGTTTTTATTGCCGTTGTTTTTACCTTTCTCCTTCGCCCACCACTTGCATTTCCTCATCTTGTTGCAACGGTTGTGTATGACCCAACAAATGGCTGCAATTTGTAGGGCGCCGGCGATGGCAATGGCAATGATGATGCCGTGGGACAAGTCGCCTTTCTTCTTGTTCTTCTCGTTTTTCTTCTCCTCTGTCTTTTGGGCGGACCAAGTTTGCGGTTTCTGGAACCCAGGGACAAATGGAGATGTCTTGGGCAATTCCACCCCAATAAATGGGTTGCCCTCAGTTTTAACAGTCACGTTGTGAGAAAAAGCTGGGATCTTTCCTGAAACATTGTTGTTTGAGATATCAAGAAGCTGGAGGTGAGGCAAGGTGGCTAGGGTTTCAGGGATGACGCCGGTGAGCTGATTGTCATGCAAGATCAGTTCTCTGAGACCGGTGAGGTTACCCAACGCCGGAGATATTGTCCCAATCCAGTTATGATTGGATAAATTGATGACTGAGATTTTCCCGGTGACATCGCAGGCAACATAGTCCCAATCCTCGCAGGGATCATTCCCTTTCCAAGAATCTGCCAGAACCAAAGGGTACCCCAAATCTTTGGCAACTTCAAGCAAAACACTCACCTGCGGATCGCAAGGTTTGGGAACAGGGTGACAGAAGCTGTTGGAGTTTCCGATGTCCACATGAACGGTTTTGGGGAAATTGGGCATTGGGCCTTGGAACATGTTGTTCTGCAGCGAGACGTTGGTGAGCTTCGGGAGTGACGAGAAGAAGTCCGGGATCACTCCGGTGAGGAGATTGTCTCGGAGTTTGAGATCGGAGAGGAAGTGGGATCTCGACAGGTCTGGGATTGGGCCGGTGAATTTGTTCACGTGGAGCCAGATCTGGGTCACCTGTTCCATCTTCCCTATCACGTCGACCCGACCCGAAAGACCCGAGAGCTGGTTGTTGAGTGTTAGCACCTGGATCCCGGACTGAGCCAGAGACGGCGGCAGGGAGCCGGTGAGGTTGTTGTAGGAAAGCTTTAGGGTTTCTAGGGTTGGAATTGACCCGAAAATGTCCGGAATCGGGCCCGCCAGATTGCATCGGGTACATGAGAAGCTGACGAGGGATGAACATGCCGTGATTTCCTCCGGGAACGGCCACGGCGCGAGGCTGGGGACGTCGTTGATGCAGATCGTCCGTAGATTTGTAACGCCGGCGAGGAAATTGGGCGTTACGGAGGTGAAATTGTTGCCGTCGAGGTTGAGATCCTCTAGGGCAGAGAGATCCGAGAATGGAGGCAAGGCGCCGGAGAGTTTGTTCATTTCGAGATTCAGTGACGTCAGGGCGGAGAGCTGGTTGAGATCCGGCGGTAGCCGGCCTGTGAGGAACATGGAAGAGAGATTGATGGATTTGACGCGGCCCAGGCCGTCGCATTCCACGCCGGGCCATTTACACGGGTCGTTCCCCGTCCAGCCGGCGGGGACGGGGGAGAGGGACTTCGCGAAGCTCACCATGACGGCGGCGTCGTCGGCGGAGACATGACGGTTGGGGGCGAGGACGGCGAAGATGGCCACGATCAGACGGAGTTCCTGGAAAAAGTCGTTTCCTTCTCCATTCATTATTCGCGGGGCGGTGGTGCAGGAGGAGATGGCAACGACGGTGTTTCTCGGCTGAGGCTGACGGCGGCGGTGTGCCCGTGTTTCTCTCTCATCGCATGATCGCCACCATCATTAGGGAAACGGGTAACAGAGAGAGAAAGGGAATTCGAGCTTCGTGTTCGAGGCTTGAATTCAGGCGAACGGAGAAGAAAGATTAGTTGAGAACGAAGCGGCCATGTGGCGACCCGAAAATGGAAAGAGAGAGCTCTCGACATGCACCCACTCTTCCCTCCCAACACCAATTTTTTACATTCTTACCCCTATGTCTCTATTGAAATCCTCTTATTTTCAAATTATTTCATGTAAAAAAATGTACTCGTACTAAATAGTACTCCCTCCGTCCTAAAACTTTCTTCACAGAGCACTATTCTTATTTCACGGGAATTTATATTTATTTGTGTTTTTCATAGCCTATATGATAAAATAAAATATTCTTGTCACCACTTGTTTTGTTGAATTTTTGATGTAGTTTTTAAATATGCATGCTTTATTTTTTATTTTTATACCAATATTTAAATAAAATAGATTGAAAAAACTTAGGATTTTTCTTTATTTTGCGAACCGGGAAGAAAGATATAGGACAGAGGGAGTAAATGAAATTTGAACCTAGAAATACTAAATACACAATTTAATTTGGGATAGAAGGAGTATTACAGAGTATATGCTAAAAAATTGACTTTAATAATCATGTGTAAACAATTTTTTGATAAAAAATATCTAAGTTTTGATTTAGCAAAGTCTAGTTCTAACTTCTTAGGATGCATTTGATTTAGTTTAATGAAAAGTTGGTCTTGAATTTTTGTTGACTATAGAGTGAATTTTTTGTCTGAATTTTAGTTGGTACAATTACAAATGGTGCTAGGGTGCGTTAGGAACGGGCCGAACTAAAAGGTCAAAGAGGAGTTAGTGGGTTACGAACTATCGATTTTACAAACAGAGTGTCGTAAATGACCCAAAATGTATTGTTTAATTTCGAGTCATTTTTTTTAAGGTCAAAAGAACCATACTAACTCTCAATATGACAATCACACTCACCTCCTGCTCCACTGTCATCATTAAATTATCAATCACCTTAAAAAATTGATGACAAAACAATGCAATTTAAATCACACAGTTCAATGTCATAACCATTCAAACAACATATCACAAAATATTAAGATCATAAATTAATCCCCAAATGACATACTCTCTTTGTCTCTAAAAAACACTTAATGTTTCATTTGTTGTGCATCTCTAAATATACTTCTATACATATCTATAATGTCTAAGATTCATAATATTTCTTCTTTATTATGGGTATAAATTGTTTTGAGAATATTTTAGAAATGTAAGATGGTGTAGAAACAATTTAAGAGATGCACAAAAAATAAAACATGAAGTGTTTTTAGTACTAGTAATAGTAACCATCCAAGGAGATGTAGCTTTTTTTAAGGTTTTGTTTTGACAAAGTTGTTGAACATTGGGCTTATTAAATTAACAGTCCATTTAAGCTCGTCCAGCACAAAACCCTCTTTTTATAAAACACCCAACAAGCCCAAACTCTACAGAGTCCATTTTTCTAGCACAGCTGACTTTCAAAAGATCCAACGGCTGAAAACCATCGTCGTTGCCGAGAAGCCGCAGATCTCTTCACAGAGAGTTCTGGAATCATCCTGGCTCTTCGTACTTTCTCCTTTTTTTCCCGATTAAGAACTCTCTAGAACCATGGAGCTCGCACTATATAACGCTGCGACTCGCCTTTTTTCCGCACCTAACAGTCGCCAGAAACTGATAATTGAAGAAGAATCGTTCAATCTTTCAATCGCGCGTTCTCTTAATTTCGGGTAGATCTTAGCGCCGTCGTCTGGGAATGGAGGAGGATTTCGATATGCCGCCGGCGGAGGAGATGGAGGACTTGGATCTTCCGGACGACAGTCCGATGATTAAGGTCGGCGAGGAGAAGGAGATCGGGAAGCAAGGGTTGAAGAAGAAGCTCGTCAAGGAAGGGGAACGATGGGAGACTCCGGAGGCCGGGGATGAAGTTGAAGGTATAGATTATGTGACAATTGAAGCACTCTGTTTTACGATTGAGAAGTTTTTATTCATCGGTGAGTGATTGAATTTTGCAGTGCATTACACTGGGACTCTGCTTGACGGAACTAAGTTCGATTCTAGCCGAGATAGAGGCACTCCGTTTAAGTTCACTCTTGGTCAAGGTTAGTCATTGGCTTCTATTTTTCTCTGCAATATAATTCTGTGTCGATTGAATTGTGATATCATTGAGTATTGAATCGGAGGAATGAATTTAATAAGAGATTACCTGATCATTGAGTAATTGCATCCACTGATTAATTGGATATTTCTTATTATCTGATCTGTTTATCAATGATCATCCATGTGTGAAGGACCTTTCTTCTTCTTCTTCTTCCTGTAATCAATACTTATTGATGGTAGTAGTTTTAATCACACTTCTCTGGGGATGCATTATGGGTTTTCTTATATCTTGATGAGCAGGGCAAGTGATTAAAGGATGGGATCAAGGTATCAAAACTATGAAGAAGGGTGAGAATGCAATTTTTACCATACCCCCAGAGCTTGCCTATGGAGAGTCTGGTTCTCCACCAACCATTCCTCCGAATGCAACATTGCAGTTTGATGTTGAGTTGCTGTCATGGGTAAGTGTCAAGGACATTTGCAAAGATGGTGGCATTTTCAAGAAGATTATTGCTGAAGGGGAGAAATGGGAAAACCCCAAGGACCTTGATGAGGTCTTAGGTAAGCAGTACAGCTAGCTCATGTGTCATGTTATGCATCACCATTGCTTTGGATGTGATGATTGATTGGTTTTCTTTACTCATTCTGTATTTCAGTGAACTTTGAAGCCCGTCTTGAAGATGGGACTGTAGTTGCAAAATCAGAGGGTGTGGAGTTCACTGTTCAAGAAGGTATTTTTCAGTCAATCTTTTTTTAGCGGTTTCCCCGGAGATCTTTATAATGAATGCTACCTTCATTTTGCTCATTCATGGAGTTGTATTTAGTACCTCTAAGAAATATGATTATCCACCGTTAGTCAGTAATGTGGGTTGGCTTGGATTACTTAGTGTTGCGCGCCTAGGAGGGCAGCGCGCTTTGGGATGCGGAGGAGCGAAGCAGCTAGAGAGAGATTCGTTGAACATAGTTCAACACTATGTGAAACAAACTGATACTATGCACGCATAAAGACTGATACTATATTTTTTCACCCCTTTTTTTTTCATTTAGGACATTTTTGCCCTGCACTTTCCCGCNTCAATCTTTTTTTAGCGGTTTCCCCGGAGATCTTTATAATGAATGCTACCTTCATTTTGCTCATTCATGGAGTTGTATTTAGTACCTCTAAGAAATATGATTATCCACCGTTAGTCAGTAATGTGGGTTGGCTTGGATTACTTAGTGTTGCGCGCCTAGGAGGGCAGCGCGCTTTGGGATGCGGAGGAGCGAAGCAGCTAGAGAGAGATTCGTTGAACATAGTTCAACACTATGTGAAACAAACTGATACTATGCACGCATAAAGACTGATACTATATTTTTTCACCCCTTTTTTTTTCATTTAGGACATTTTTGCCCTGCACTTTCCCGCGCTGTGAAGACCATGAAGAAGGGAGAGAAGGTGCAGCTAACAGTGAAGCCTCAATGTAAGTGATCGGCTTTGCAAACGAATCTCGTGGGCATTAGTTTTTCTTCACATGGTAACTCAACTAACCAAACTAAATGTTACAGATGGGTTTGGCGAGAAGGGAAAGGCTGCATCTGGTGTTGAAGGTGCTGTTCCACCGAGTGCGACATTACTAATTGACTTGCAGCTTATCTCTTGGAAGACTGTTACCAATGTCACTGATGATAAGAAAGTGGTAAAAAAGATCCTCAAGGAAGGGGAAGGATATGAGCGACCTAATGAAGGAGCTGTTGTGAAATGTAAGTATGTTAAGAATATCAATTGAACTTTTGCCTCTTTGCCTGCAAATCATAGTACTGGCATCTAACTGTGATCTTATCTCTCTTGCAGTGAAATTGATTGGGAAATTGCAAGATGGGACTATCTTCATCAAGAAGGGGCATGATTCTGAGAATGAAGATCAGCTCTTTGAGTTCAAGACTGATGAAGGTGTGTGTATGAAATTCATTCAATATCCACTTCCAGTTTATATCATATGATATTCTTGGGTGTGCTTATCGAACCTGTTTTTCTCATGAACAGAGCAAGTCATCGATGGGTTGGACAGAGCTGTGCTGACAATGAAGAAGGGCGAAGTGGCACTCTTGACTATTGCTCCAGAGTACGCTTTTGGTGCATCGGAGAATAAGCAGGACTTGGCCGTTGTCCCTGCCAACTCCACTGTGTTTTATGAGGCAGAGCTTGTATCTTTTGTTAAGGTATATCTTGAGTGTTGAACCAAAAGACACGGTTTTTAATGGTCTATCTGGGTTTTGAATTGTGCCATGTTTTAACTTGTTTAATTCGGGTCAGGAAAGGGAATCATGGGACATGAAGAATGACGAGAAAGTTGAAGCTGCCATCAGAAAGAAGGAAGAAGGAAACGCCCTTTTCAAAGCAGGAAAGCATGCCAAAGCTTCTAAGAGATATGAGAAGGTAAAGTTCATTTTTTCTAATTCCTTTTTTAGGACGTGTTTGTTTACTAGCATTTTGGCTTTTATGTATTCAAAAGAAAACAATTTCTGTGATTATGGCATTGCAGGCGGGGAAGTTTGTAGAGTATGACAATAACTTCAGCGAAGAGGAGAAAAAGCAAGCCAAGGCTTTGAAAATATCATGCAACCTGAACAATGCAGCTTGCAAATTGAAACTGAAAGAGTTCAAAGAAGCTGCCAAGCTATGCACTAAGGTTTCAATCATATCATATCATACTTTCCTTTCTAATAAGCTTCTCTCTGCAGTAAAAAATCTGTGTTTGTTTGTTTCTTGGCATTAAAAATGATTTCCTGGTGAATGATTGCCAGGTTCTGGAACTGGAGACCACTAACGTGAAAGCACTCTACAGAAGAGCCCAGGCGTATATGAATATGGCGGACCTCGACCTGGCTGAGTTTGATATAAAGAAAGCTCTGGAAATTGATCCGGAGAATAGGGAGGTGAAGTTGGAGTACAAAGTGTTGAAGAACAAGATGAAAGAGTTCAACAAGAAGGATGCCAAGTTCTACGGGAACATGTTTGCCAAGCTGACCAAGCTGGAGTCACTTGACGACAATAAAGCTGCTGCTGTTGCTCCAAAGGAGGCCGAACCCATGAGCATTGATAGCAAGGCTTGAGAGAGAGTTAAGAGTAATAAGTAATTCTTCCTCAACAACAATTTTACTTGTCTGTTCTGTGTTTCTTTTTATACTCGGATTCTGTAATTCAATGAAGTATGGATGCTTTTTTCGTGGTTTTATTTATGTCTTGAGAATTGAGAATGGAGCCTATGGTCAGTTCCGTATTTGTCGGTGCCAACATAATTAGTTTGATTGTATGTAGTACTCCGTATGATGTTTTTTTCTTTTAAAAAACTCACTTCATAGAGTAATCCTTAGACACTGACTTGAGTGTAAACACCATAGTTTTCAGAACCGGACCGGTGACCAAACCGGTCAAGGTACTGGTTCACTGGTTTACTGATCGAATCAGTGGTTCAACTGGTTGAACCGGTGGTTTAAACATATTTAAAAAATTTTCAAATATAAATATATATATGTGTGTGTATGTATATGTATATGTATATATATTTACACACATACATACGTACATATAGACACACACACATTCTCATTTATAAATATCTAAAGAAAGTAATTTATAACATTTAAATAGTATTATATTAATATACTTGACTTATTTTATAAAATTAAAAAATAAAATTTACATATTAAAAAAATATAAAAGAATTTTAAATGAAGAGTTGATTTTATTTTTTCAAATAAGTTGTTTAATACTCCCTCCGTCCTAAATTATAATGCCTGTTTACTATTCACAGTGTCAAACTTCATTCACTTTCTTTCTCTATTTTCGTTAGCAATTTGATAAAATAAAATATTATTGTCACTACTAGTTTTGTAGATCTTTTGATGTAGTTTTTTAATATGTAATTTTTATTTTTTAATTCTACACCATTTGTCATATAAAATGGTTTGAAAATAATTTCAGTGAAACATTATAAACCGAAACAGGCGTTATAAAATGGGACGGAGGTAGTATTAAAAAAAACGAAATCTTTGCATGATTTGCATTTTGTAATAGTATCAATAATATCAATGATTTTGTGTTTGACTTATAGCTATATAATATTTTATTTATAAAATTGAAAAGGAATTTATATACAATCTTTTTTGTAATTATGAAATATTATAAAAGATTATGTGAATTTATAACAAAAAGCATCATTGCTTGGATGGTTAGGAGCTCAACCAAATGTCTAAAAGGTCTTGGGTTCAAACCCCTATGGAGGCATGTTTTGGAAAAAATCAGCAAAAAAAAAAACAAAAAAAAAAATTGGGCGGACCGGTCCGACCGGCCGGTTCTTACCAGTTCTAACCGGTTCGGGCCGGTTCAAAGCATGTTACGATCCAATGGGCCGGACCGGACCGGTTGGACCACTGGTTCGCCGGTTCACGGTCCGAACCGGCCGGTCCAGTCCGGTTTTTAAAACTATGGTAAACACATATACTGTCATTCTAGAAACTTCACATGTCCGAGGTGATCGTTTCACCTTTAAAATCTCTATCCTGTTGGGTGGGCCTTGGGTATTCGGTGGTCCGAGACAAGATGATAATCATAAAATAGTAACACAACAAATTTTTGATATACTTTGTCTCTCCAAAAATCCTTCTTTTTCGATCATTGAGTAAAATTGTATCTTTTTTAAATGTTTTTTAATTAGAAATAAGCATATAATAGTAATCGAGAAGTTTATTGTTGGATAGAGGGAGTAACAATTAAATATTGTACTAGCTACCTTAAGAAATTAAAATTTTTAAATTTTTATCAAAAAAATATACTACCTATATTCTTGATTATTTCTCAATTTTTTTCTTACAATCAATCATTTTCAACCTTTGACTTATAATTAATTAAATAATATAATGTACATATATATATAAAATAATATATATATATATATATGCATATATATATATATATGCACTCCGTATTAAAAATTAAAAATATTGGTCCCCTAGAATAATAAATTTGGGTTGGCCGGTGACATCACAAATGATAATTATACGTGAATTTCTACACATAAAATCCATAATAGCTATGAATATACATAGTTTATACCCATGTGTACAAATTGGACAAGTATGAATGGTGGTGCATTTCTTATTGAACCAATACTCCGTATAGATTAAGGGCTACTCTCCACTTGCTCCGGTATTTATTATTGCAGTGTTAAATTATTTGGGTGAAAGAAGAAATGAAAAGAGGAAATACCCAATCTTTATTCATGTCCGCAACAGACCAAAAGAGTGCAGTGCTATATATAACGTGCTCCCCTTTTCCACTTCACTCCATCTGAGAAATTTCACTCTTTCTTCCTCATCCAATCCCGTTCCAGTCCAGGTATTCCCTATCTTCTCAATCCTATTCTTCTTCGCTCCATTCTTCTTCATCAATTCGAAACATTTTCTGCAACCAAATGGGTTTAGTCTCGTTTCAATCGTCCAGAAATACGAAACGCAAATCGTACATCTTTTCATCATCATCGTCATCTTCATTCATTTTTTAGATCCACCGTCAAAAGATACAAATCAGAAACGCCACTCTGCAGATCTTGCTTCCAGATTTTCGATTTTTGATGTGCTGTAATATGTTTGTATTTACAATGCTCCGTAACAGATTGATCCGGCTGTTATACCTCCGTGCCTGTTTCTTCAACATATCTGTATTTGATTTATTTTGATATTATGTATACAACATTAACAAATCACTGCTTTTATTAGTTTTTTTTTCAGATCGTTACCAGATAAAATTTGTTATTTTTGTCTTTGATTATTTGTCTCCTATAAAAAGGGTTACAATGATGTTTAAGTTGAACTTATATTACACTCAAGGACAAGAAAGCAAATTTTAATTAATGTTCTTAGCTTTATGGACAAGTAAGTGCTACATCCAGCTTTTTGACTTTTTTGGGGGAAAATTTCAAAAGTATTGTCTTTTTAATGCCAATTTTATTTGTTAATAGTGTCGTTATATGGTGTAGTAGCTCACAATCATTCATACTTTATCAATAATTTATGTTGATTGTTTGGAATTTGAAATATGGTTAGGTGCATTCTTAGATTTACTGTTATGTAGTGCTAAATTTGGTAGTTATCCTTTGCCTTGTTGCCATATTTAATTTCGTTCCGTATTTAATGTTTGAGAAACTATTCTAAAAGCACTTGTTTGTGGTCTTGTCATCCTGTCTTTATCTTGGTTTATTGCTAAACTTTTCCTTGGTCAAAGTTGTCTGCCAAGCAGTATGCACTGTTATGCATCTTTAAGGAACTACTCTCCCCATCCCAAATTAATTTGCCCCATATTTAAAAGATGTTGAATAGTAAAAAGCGAATGATTATAATTTTCTTAGATGGGAAAGAAGTATTTTGGATCATATATATTCTTTTCCAAAAAGGAAAGAAATAAAGTGAGAAAATTATTTTGGGACGTATGAAGAAGGGAAGGTAGTTCCCTATAAATGATAGTGGATGAGTCAATCAAACCAAAAGTGTAAATGAAGTGGTGTGTTAGTAATTAAAGATGAAACCTCTTTTAATGTTAATCAACCTTGTCTTGTCAGGCCATGCTTTATTTAAATTCATTCTAAACATCCCTATACAGAGTATATCATACTCTATTGATATTTACTTGTGATTAATAAGTGCAGTATGTGGTATTTTTCTCCCAAAATTATCTTTTAGATGATCTGTTATTAATTAAATACTACGGGTATATAACAAAATAATTACATTTTCTTTTATAGAAAGAAAAAAAATTAATTTTCCATTTGAACTACTAGATCCTTTTAATTACATTCCATTTGACACAAAGTTAAAGAGGCGGTGGTGGAGAAGATAGAAAAAGTAAGCGAAGTGTAATATGTTAGGAACTGGACCCTTTCCAAAATAGAAGTATGGAACATTAATTTGGAACAACCGAAAAGACTAGTATGAAACAGATAAGAGTATTAATGATAAATATGTATCTTCAAAATAGTTTTTTTTCTCATTTCTTTTCTATTTGATTGGGTTGCGTGGGAATGTAGATGGCAAAGGAGCATGGTGGGTCCCCAAAGCTTCAACAGCTGGAAACAAGGAGAAAACGCTTGACTTGGATTTTGGGAGTAAGTGGCCTTTGCATCCTCTTCTACATTCTTGGAGCCTGGCAGAGTACATATTCTTCCGTCCCTTATGTTGGTCAATCTCAAGCCTCCTCGCGTGTTGGATGCGATACTAATGAGCCATCTGAAAATCCAGCCACATCATCCTCATCCTCATCTTCATTATCATTATCATCATCATCATCATCATCAGTGCCGCTTGAATTCGAAAGCCATCACCAGATAGCAGTCAATGCTGATTTGGAGGAGGAACAAAAGAACTTCCCACCTTGTAACATGTCATATAGTGAGTACACTCCTTGCCAACATCCACCTAGGGGAAGGATGTTTCCTCGGGACATGATGAAATACAGGGAGAGACATTGCCCTAGAAATGAAGAGCTCCTAAGTTGCCTCATCCCTGCCCCTCCAAACTACAAGAGACCTTTCAAGTGGCCTCAAAGTAGGAATTATGCTTGGTTTGCCAATATCCCCCACAAAGAACTTAGCATTGAGAAGGCCGTGCAGAACTGGGTCCAGGTTGAAGGAAACCGCCTCAGGTTTCCTGGGGGTGGCACTATGTTTCCCCGTGGAGCTGATGCTTACATTGACGATATTGGTGACCTCATTCCCCTCACCGATGGGACCATTCGAACCGCTGTTGATACAGGTTGTGGAGTAAGTAACTCTCTTTGTCACATTTCACACCTCTTTTGTATGTCATATTTGGCTACTCTTGTATTTGCTGTAGTTGTTGTTAAATTAGGTGATTTGGGTATAATTCGCCTCAAAAGAAAAGCTAGCTCTTGAAACCCAAGTGGCTGAACAAATGGGTCTAAACCGACCCAAAACATGCTATTCTCTGAATTATTGAGTAAGTATATGCCTCACAAGTCACCATCAAATTAAGCCCCCATACCATCCTATAGAGGCTTACATCACACGTATGTATTAGCCTTAAACTAGGTAGAGAACTGTTGTGGGATACTTAAGATTTACATGTATCCATCATAATAACTCTTTTTATTTAATGCTATTTGGAATGGATATTGTCAGGTGGCAAGTTGGGGTGCATATTTGTTGAAGAGGGACATTGTGGCTATGTCTTTTGCTCCGAGAGATACACATGAAGCTCAGGTTTGGTTTGCACTTGAGAGAGGAGTTCCGGCTATGATTGGTGTTTTGGGTTCGCAAAGACTTCCATATCCGGCTAGAGCTTTTGATATGGCCCACTGCTCACGCTGCTTGATCCCTTGGTCCTTAAATGGTAAGCTCTCCTACAAGTAGCTCACTACGTCCTAAAAAAAGTCCCGTTTGAAAACTTTTGTCCTAAAAATGAATACAGTTGAACCTCTCTACAACAACTAATAACTAATTGCTATGGAGTTTTACCAAACATCTTTGCATAAAGGGCTAAAGAAAAAAATAGGTCAAAACAGTCATTAGAAACAATTAATATATATATATATATATATAGGTGATAGCTAATTGCCAAACATGGTCAAATCAGATTCCAATATTAAGGGGACATTGCATCAATTTTCTGTCTCAGTTGGTGTATTGTTTTTTTCCTTGTGGTTACAGATGGAATATATTTAACTGAGGTTGACCGAGTTCTGAGGCCAGGGGGATACTGGATACTTTCAGGGCCTCCCATCAACTGGAAGACACACTGGAGAGGGTGGGAGAGGACCAAAGAAGATTTGAAGAAAGAGCAAGACTCGATTGAGGATGTTGCCAGAGGATTGTGCTGGAAAAAGGTGACTGAAAAGGGTGACCTATCTGTGTGGCAGAAGCCCATCAACCACTTGGGTTGCTCTAGGACATCATCCATTTGCAAGTCGAATGATGCTGATGCAGCTTGGTAAGTTCTCAATTATTGACCTGCAACTGCTTTATAAACAATCTACTATAAGAAACCAGGAGTGTTAATCCATCCCACATCAGAAAAGTACTCTCACCCCCCCTCAAAAAAAGAGTTCTGTTTCATGAACATCTTATCTTTGTCTAAAAATATGTCCAATTTATATAGTGAACTTTCATTCAAATGTAAAAATAATGTTAGGCCAATTGTCATGTGGTTTAGTCAGTTACCAAAAGCAAAACTGGAAGTACGTTAAGGGTATGTGTGACCATTCATAACTCATTAACTCGTAAAAGCTTATACCTTGGTTACAACAACAACAACAACCCAGTTGAATCCCACAACAGTAGGGTCTGGGGAGGGTGTGTGTACGCAGACCTTGCCCCTACTCGGAAGTAGGGAGGCTGTTTCCAAGAGACCCCCGGCTCAACCTTGGTTGAGTTGGCTAAAAGTAGTGCACCTTACTAAACAATACCTTCTCTCTCCTTGCTGGGGTTTTCCATTTTTTTCGTCTATCCTATAAACTTAAGATAATTTTGGTTCATTTTTCCTGCTTGTTAGTTTTTTCTAATTAAAACTCAACCACACTTGTCCAATTTTTAACTTCCATGTCAGTCAAGGGTGGAAAAATCTAGCAGGACCGAGGGAGTATTTTCTCATTGTAGATGGGGGTGGGGGTAGTAGAATACAAACAAACATATAAGCTTTAACAAGTTTTGATATGGTATCATAACATACTAAGCTCGAACAAGAAATTGGATCCTGACAAGTCTTGAAAACAATAATGCGAATTTGAAGATTGGTTTGCTTCAACAAGCCATCAGCTTCAGGGCCATGTTTAGTCTTCTCACATTAGAAGGATCTAAAGTACAAGCCAGAATACAAGCTTTCTGGCCACTCCTAATGAATTGACCTCTATAGGAAGTTAGGTGAATTAATAACTTGGGCTAGGATTTGATTTTCACAAAAAAAAAAGCTTTGATAACTGCTTTATTACCTCACACGAGTCACTAAATGTCTTTTTTGTTCTCTCGAGAAAGGTACAAAGATATGGAATCCTGTATAACCCCGCTGCCAGAGGTAAACAATGAGGGTGAAGTCGCTGGCGGTGCATTAGAGAAGTGGCCAGAGCGTGCCTTCGCCGTTCCTCCCAGGATAAGCAGTGGTTCAGTACAGGGCATCACAACAGAGGCATTCAAGGAGGATAATGAAGTGTGGAAACAAAGGGTGGCGTATTACAAGAAAGTTGCAAGTCCCTTACACCAAGGGCAGTATCGTAATGTTATGGACATGAACGCTCACTTAGGTGGGTTCGCAGCTGCATTGGTGAAGTATCCAGTGTGGGTGATGAATGTAGTCCCTGCCAACATACATCCTGACACTCTTGGAGTGATCTATGAACGAGGCTTCATCGGCACATACCAAGATTGGTGTGAAGCATTCTCCACATATCCACGGACATATGATCTCATTCACGCGGGCAGTGTCTTCAGCATATATCAGAACAGGTAACTTGATGTTTAGGGTGAAGTTACCATTTAACCCTCATGTTACATACACAATACGATACAAGTTATTATGCCGACTTCATCTTTGGTTTCCCTAGAAATAGTTACTTAGTAAATAAGAAGATGGAATTTGACTCCCTCATCATCTTAACCAAACAATATATATCTCCCTCTCCAGAAAGGAGTGGGAGGCAAGATTAAAATGCTTGGGAAAGTGAGTTTATTTTCCTTGAGAAGCATGATTCCACTAGAAACAACCATACATGTTCAGTTATAAAGGTTTCTTACATACACACCACACGGTGGTGTTAAGGAGAACGACAATGTCACTCAATACTGGCATCTAAGTTGTGAAATTGCCATTTTACCCTGATATTGCAGGTGTGACATTGTGAACATTCTTCTGGAGATGGACAGGATCTTGAGGCCCGAAGGGACTGTGATATTCAGAGACACAGTTGAGGTTTTGGTGAAGGTGAAGGGGATAACAGATAGAATGAGATGGGAAAGCCGGATTGTGGATCACGAAAGTGGACCATTTAACCCAGAGAAGCTCCTTGTTTCTGTAAAAAGTTACTGGACTGGAAAAACCTGAAGGACAAGGAGGTAGACAGGCACGGCACAACCAAGCCGAATAGCCGAACTCATCCCATCTCTATGGTTGGTTGTCAGTTTAAGGTTGTTTTGTTGCTCCCACTCTTCCCACAGACATTTTTTTATTATTATAATGATACATCTTCCACTTGCCAATAAGTCTCTCTCTGTTTCCCCGTCTAACTAACTTGTGAAGTTCAATCCCGAAATTACCCCTTGACCCATCCTTTCCCCCAATGCCATTCGTCCCTTCCGGTGACCCAATCAGAAGACATTAAATAGTATTGAAAGGCAAAGTTCTCTCAAGTCAACCGCCATCCCGGAGACCAAACAAATTTTTCTGGAGGTAAGCTCTGTCATGCAAACAAGTTTGAGTCTTACTTCCCCACATAATGTACCATATTTTCATAGTAAATTCCTATAGGTTGGTGTGATACTACATACCTGGTGTGTTTTTTTCTCCCTTCTCTGCAGTTCTGATCAAACATGATCTGCAGATTTTTTTTATTTATTTATGTTTGTGTCTTTTGCATTAAATTTGAAGCAGTACTGGTAAATTTATATGCATGCTTAAATGAAGAGTGAATTTTGGGATATTTGCTTGTAGAATGGAGTGAATTTGGCATTTCATTTGGACACATTATAGCATGCCGGTTGTCTTTTTGTCTTTGTTTTCAAATAGTGTTGGCTGTGTTTAAAATATATTGAGATTTGAGATTTCTTTTTAGCTGCCAAAAAAAAAGGATTTCTTAGGCTTTGTTTGTTAGGAAATACAAGTAGAGGAAAGAAAAGAAATTGATTGAATTTTGAAAGGAAATAAGTTGGCCAGTTTTATAGGCACTAAAAGTACATTCCAATATTCCATATTAACTCCAAATTAAAACATGCCGGTTTTTATTGTATGGCTAGTTTTGTGAGGGTTTTTGCCAAAAAAAATTGCATTTTATAAGAATGATTTCATCAAAAAATATTTTAACACCGAAATAATACGGAGTAAGTCACTTAGGTCATGTTTTCTTTTACTTATTTTTATTATTTATTATTCTTTCTTATTGGAATTAGTTTAGATTAGATCAGATCAAAAACAGTTTTATATATCACTACATTCAGATTAGATTAGATCTGATCAGATTAAAACTTATTCCAATTAGATCAGAACTATTCAGATTAGGTGAAGAGAACATGATCTTTTTTGCAGAGCATTGGAAATAGATTGGTAGCCCGAAGTTTCAAATCGAGACTTCAAATCTTTTCTTTGTCACATTAACTTTAACCACCTTTAATTTACACTACAGTTTCAGTGTTTCACTGGAAATACCAGACTTTAAATCGGGGCTTCAAATCATCCTTTTTTTATTTTTATTTTTAAAAGTAAATTAATAAGATTTCATAAATTAATTAAATTTAATCCGTAATAATTCATTAAAAATACATTAAATAAAAAAACAGTACATAAAATTTTAAAAACAAAAATTAGATTAATAAAAAACACTAAAGCAATTATATTTTGAATCTCATTAACGTATCAAGGTCTTTTTTTCATTATTTCGAGCTCCTCTTCTATCTCTCATTTCTCCCTCTCTTCTTCCCTAAGATTCAACAACCACATTTGTTCAACCATTTGATGGCCGATATCATCGTGAGAGGAAACAGAGCTGGACCCAAAAGCCGACTCAATTAATTCAGCCTTCTTTCTTCCTACTGACCGTGGAATGGAGTCCTCGTTGTTGGAGTTGTCTAGGTTCACGGGAGGCCTTTGTTGCGACAAGCTGATAATAGTATCCTTCATGCCAATCTTAGCAGATGATCTTTTCTTTGAAGATTCTGCCTCGGGGTTGCAGACTTGTTGCCATTTCGGTGAATGGCTTAAAATTTTCTACAAATCAATGAAGACTTTGCTTTGGTGCTCGAAATCTTGTTACCGAGCAGTCACTTGCTGCAAAATATCGGCATCGTTCGTCCAGCTCTTTTTGAACCAGGCGCATTCCTTGTGCACTCTGATAAAATTTCGGACTTTTCTGTTTATGTAGCCCCATTTAGAAATGAGTTGGTCTCGACTTCGTTATGAGGGGTCCTTGTTTATTGCAGCAAAGAACTCTTCAATACGATCCCACATCGCATCTCTCGTTTGATCAGAACCTTTAAGAAATATATAATTTAACAAAAATATACTCCCTCCGTCCGGAAATATTCTTCCCGTGTTGACTTGGCACGCTTATTAAGGAATAGTAAAAAAATGCAAAATTTTCAAAAATGCACATACTATAAACTTTTAAATCTCTTTTTATTAGTAAAAAAGTACTAAAAAAAGTAGATTTGTGATAAAATAGAAGGGTATTATTGATATTTATCCTTAAAAAGTATACAAAAAAAGGAAATGGGAAGAATATTTCCAGACGGACCAAAAAGGAAAGTGGGAAGAATATTTCCGGACGGATGGAGTATAATTTAGCACAAATATATTAAAAAAACATATATAAAATATACATAAAAAAGAACAAATAAAATTTACCAACAATAGGATGCTCTGAGACGTCGACCCACGCGGACACCAACAAAACTTCTTCCTCTGGCGTTCATTTTTGAATTGATCGCGCTGCCTCAGTCATTGGCTTTTCGGTCCTTGATTGCGGCTTTTTACTCTTCCGACGTGCACTTTTTTTGGTGTACTTGGTTCCGGAGTTCCTTGAACCGACTCTGGTCCCTTAGATTCATTGGTGTGGTTTGGCTTTCGAAAAAAGTTAGATTATACATGTACTTTTGGTAATGCTACATCGCGTACTCATTAGACTTAAGACCGGGTGGAGAGCGAGCCAAATGGATTCATGATAAAAATTTAAAAATAAGAGAGAAAGTTGAAGATTTTTTTAAGGAGAGAGAAAGGAAAGTGAAGATTTGTGTTTGTATATATATGTTTTATTTTTGAAAATGAGAGTGGATATATAGAGGGTATTTTTTTAAAAAATGCCGAATGACATTATATCCGCTGAAATGGAGGGACCTGCACGCCTTTATCTCTTCTTTTGCCCGTTAAACGTTTGACGTGGGCATGAAGAAGCCCCAGAAACGCTGCTAGGGGGCGGTGTTTAACACCCTCACAACGTAAAAACACAAAAATGCCCACAATGTTAAGAGTAGTTTCAATGTTCTAAGGACCAAAAACTTCTGACTTTTCTCTTTTTCTCTCATTTTGTTTTCAAACAAAGCGCATAGTTTCTCTAGTCTTTACCTGTTTAATCAGTTACATGTCTACCTATAGCCACAAGTTTTGACAAATTATACCTCACTCACATATCTAATGAACATTATGCAATTCATTGAAGTCCACATATTAATTGTACAATATATATGGACACAATATGCAAACTTTGTGTATTTGTACAAAAAAATCTTCCTATTGTTAAGAATATTAAGGATAATAGAAAATAAGTATTAGTATTAATTACCTTCTTTATTCTATTATTTCATTATTGTATTGTTATCATAATTTTTTTACTATTATGATTGAAATTTTCTTTTGTATCATGAGATTCAACTGTGTCGTTGTTGCATTGCATATAGATAAAGATTTATCTTCAATATTCAACAAGACTAATGATTATCAAATTGTATCATGATTTTCTCCTCTATAAATACAGTGTACGCGCTTATCAGCCACTCCCACACTAGTTTGGTCCACTTACTATTTGGAGGAATGATTAGGTCTAATATTTCAATCTCTTTATTGCTAGGTCGGTAATGCAATGATGAATCGATCTCGAATGGAATCTTGCTCCGATTTTCTATTAAAATAGTTAAATAATAGATTTATTCAAGAATAATGAAGGATACAAGAGGGTATATATATGAAGCATTTCTAACATAAGTAAAATCAATCTAATAATAGAAGCTGAATAATAAGCAAACACTGCTCCTGTTATTACTCCGTACATAGTTTAAAAAAGAAATAAAGACATGTGGATTAGATTTATTTATGAAAAATGAAAAAGAAATGAAAAAGTAGGGTAGGGGTGAGCATGGTACGGTATGGTACGGTATTTAGCTCGTACCGATACCGTACCAAGTACTTCGGTTCGGTGTGGGATTTTACCCTGTACCGATCTCGATCCCGAAATATCGGTTCGGTATGGTTCGAGATGGTTCGGTATCGGTTTCGGTACAAATCGGGATGAATATACATACCTACTTTACACGTTAAAATTTAACAATGCCCCTTTATTTTTGAAAATTAAAAAATGAATTTAAATTAAAAAAACATGAAAATTAAAAAAATGAATATTTAAATGCAAGAGATGTGCATCAAAATTTAGTTTATGTTTCACAAACTAAAAAAATGAACGATAATAAAGGAGAATTTCAAATCTTTGTGAATACTTTTATGTTCATACACAAAAACTTACTTGAACCAATTTTTTTTTTAAAAAAATTGCCCGGTGTATTTTTTAGTGAAGGAATATAAAAATATTACTCCGGGATATTATTTTTTATAATATTTTAGTATATATGTTCGATTCGGGATTTTCGGTATGGGACGTCCCCTCGTACCGTTCTCAAATACCGTACCGACCATTCGGTTCGGTATGGTTCGGTTCCTTCTCGATATTTTTTCGGTTCGGTATTTTTCAGTTCGGTATTCTCGGTTTTTTCGGGAAATTTCGGTATCGGTTCGGTACTTGATCACCCCTAAAGTAGGGAGCAGTAATTACTTGAAACTCAACAAGTCCACAGTCCACAGTACACCTCTATGATTATTGGTCAACAATTATTAATCAACTACAGTAATTAATTAAATTCAAAGCCGAAACATTTGGAATGTGATTGAGCTTGATTTGAGATTAGTTTAATTATTTATTATGGACAGATCTCTTCGTAAACGTACCTAGCTAATTAATAAAAGATTATTTTAAAAAAAAAAACATTTTCATTACCCCGAGAAATTGCGGAGTAGTGTTTTCTAATTTCTTGCTTTTTCGGTCTCCTCCCCATAATTATGGTCCATTTGCAAATTGCAACAAACAAAAATCTTTCTTGAGCCGTACAATAAAATTATTAAATTTGGAAAGTTTAAAGTAAATATTTGATTTTTTTGAAAGTAAAAGAGAATAAAAAATTAGAGAAGTGGAAAGTTATAATACAGAATTTTTAAGAAAGTGAGAAATTTAATGAGAGATATATCAAGGGTTCATTTTAGAAATACGAGTAATTTTAAAACTGAATAATAATAATAATAATAATAATAATAATAATAATAATAATAATAATAATAATAATAATAATAATAATAATAATAATAATCCAAAGCAACTTTTAATTTATTCACACTTTAGGGGAAGAATGAAAAAAATGAAAAATTAAAGGATATACTAATAAAGAATCTTTATGGCCGTTTATTTAATAATGCTGACCATAAGACCAATAATTGAATTTTGTATCGAGGAATAAATAGAGCAATACTATATGTGGAATATACATACTTACACCATACTATCCACAAATAATTATTGGTTGAGGAGAAAATTTGGAGGGTTGCCTTTTACGGAGTACTTCGTTATTGAAAAAGAAAAAATAAATAAATATATTTCTTTTTATATTTTATTTATTGGTACA